GGACGTTAATCCTGAATTTTCATCGGTTAACCGCGTGGTTCCGCCGCACCGTGGTGGAACATCTCCTTCTGCCTTTCTGTTTTGCTTTCTTTCTCTCTGCTGCCGGTCAATTCCCGTCGATTTTTTACGTCGGCTCATGAAATCAAAATTAACTTTGAGAAAATCGACACTGGAATTCGCCTGAGCGTCTCGCTGCTCGCGTACTACCGGCATTTCGTAATGGGTGAAATAGAATTCTCAAGCGGATTGAAATCCGTTGCCCGTCACTGCCACTGCAGGCTCAGGCTGCGGTCACACGAGCGTTTCTCAATGGCGTTTCTAAAGAAGCGATGGATTTTTAACCCTGTATTGCATGCATCTTTGTGTGGAGTTAGAAAGATGTATATGGCTGTTATTCTATTTAAATGTTGGTTAGGTCTTGGTTAGGTCTATTAGGTTATACTCTGAAAATAAAGAGATTCATAGAAAATATTATGATAACACAGGTAACATAAATATAAAGATTTTGGTTAGTGACATAAGGGTTAATTCTTAACAGTTGGAGGGCTACACTATGCAGAAATGTAACTAATTTGTTTTCATTTTTATATATTATACTCGATGTAGTTTGGGATATATTTTCTGTTTTATTGTATTACAGGTCCTGGCCAGTATTGTCAATATTCCCTTACGCACGATAAAAAGACACGTAATTTTGTTTTTTTAGTCATATTCGTTTTAAGTTCTTTCAGTCGTTTGTTTAGTATACATATAAATATATAAAATTTAATTTTATACTCAAAAGAAGTTCAAAAGGATATCCCTAGTTTTATGTAACATTTTATATTTTATTAATTTTGTATGTTGTTTTTAACAACTGAGGTAATTTGCAATCAATCCATTATATATAATATACATACATACAAAATCTAATTTTATACCTGAAAGAAATTCAAAACTACATCCCCAGTTTCCCCATCGCCGTAGCGCCTGCGTATAATGGCGGTCGCTTATGTAACCGTTCCCTCGGCCGACAAAACAAATGAAAAAATGTCAGCTATTTTACGGAAATATAAGCCTCCCCACTTCGCCGGACATTATCCAGCGCGAAGCGACGCGCTCCGGCGATTTGCCTCCCGGGGCGGTAACGTGAGTGTGATATTAAACGAATTACTCGCGGCTCGTCTTTAATTGCACACGGCTGATTGTTCCGGTGTGACTTTGAGGAAGTTGATCAATCTCATCTTCCAAGCGCAGGATCCTGTACAGCCTGGCTCGCAGCCGGCTGCGCAAAATTAATTGCGAATGGAGATTCATGCGGTATTGTTTTCCTTTTATTTGGAGATAATGAACTAATATAACTGTTATGGCAGCCTGTTTTTACATTTCGGCGTGATTCCGAGAACCGCCGTTCCTTCCGCAATTATTTTTATGCTCGTCGGCAGTCGCTTCGTGTAGTTTGAATCGCGCATCTTTTAATGCGGCTCGTTTTTGCCCCTTCGGAAATTGGTTTGTTTGCAGATCGACGCGATTGTGCGATTTCGAAAGTTTTCTTTTTGCTGTGACGGTTTTTTCTGTAATTTTTTTCAATTTTCGTTCTCTTCTTTTATGGATAATGAGGCTAATTAAGGAAGCCAATTATTTCCGCGGTTGGTTATACAACTTGTCGAGCTGTTTGTTGATTTTAAGTGAGATTGACGTTAATCACTGTTGAACAAGACATTTTAATTCTAAGTAAAAATGTATATTTATGTACATTATAAATTAAATCTTATGTTGAGTTCTCTTAAAAATTCTAGCAAAGTTGCTCTTTTCACTCTTCAAATACACAAACATACACACACTCACACGCGCGCGCGCGTGTTTCTCGTGTTACACATTTTATTATATGATAGCTATATTCTCTAATAAACAAACATTTTCATTTGCTTCCATTTTAACTTGAAATAATCTTCGCTTGGTTTCGTACTAAACTTTACGTTCATTATGTGTCGTAATACTTGTTACATTTTATTACATACTATATGTGTACCAATACAAAACAAACAAACAGTCTTAGTTAGGTTAAAGCTTATAAAAAGAATTGAAAATGGATAATTGTGTTTTTTGAGAAAATAATTCCAAAACATGCAGATGCGATTTAAACGATAAAGGTAGAGTGATTTGTTTTCGTTTCATTCGTATGGCCGTTTTTCCTTCGCTTTTATCGCGGATCTCGCACCTTGCGGCTAATCTCGGCAAAAAAATCGATTTGTGAGAATTTTTATGATCTTCGTGCCATTTGCATGAGTGGAATCGTTCAGAGAGAGTGTGCGAACAAAACGATGGCGCGAAACGAAAAAGGCGACCCGATTGACACACAATAACCGAGTAGAAAACAAAAACCGAGAACAAAAACGGAGAGAAAAAGGATACCAGAGAAGAGAATGAATTGAGTCGGCAGTCGACGATTAACACCACAAATTGGTCAGTTTATTTTATGCAAAGTGAATGTGGAGTCATTAATCATTACTAGACGCTTTATTTCATTCAATAGTCCTTTGTTTGCTGACATTTTGGCTGGAATTGCAAAAGTATCATTTTATTTTTGATGCAAAAAGTTTCGTGACTGATTCATTCATTTTTTGTTATAAGTATTTATACAGTAGTAATTATTTTCTTTTTCATAAGGTATTTTTAATTTAAAACAAACATTGTTTATTGTTAGACATCAGTTCTTTAAAGCAACGATTCAAGTTTTATGTAAACAAAGTTGATGTAATCATGTTCATGGCGCTAAAGAAATGCTGTTTACATTCCATTTAAATTATGCCTTCATTAATCTCTTGCGTAATGGAATGTAATGCTCGTACGATTTGAATCCGTAATTAATTCGTTAAGCGATAGACGACGTAATTTTATTGTCAAACGATGAATTGTTTTACTAAACAGTGTATGATGTAATCTTATTATGCGTTATCGATTCTTACCTATGTTTTCTATGTTATTCTTTTTAACCTTCCTTTTATTGTAATATTTAAAGAATAGGACACTGACAATTATTTATAAAAAGATATACTTCTGTATATTTCTTAAGGTAATAGGTACTAATAAGTACTAATACATAAGTACCTATACGGAAATATTTTTAATTAATCAATCAATAAAACAATCGTCTTTCCTTAAAACAATTAATTTTACCATAATACTTATAAAAACAATGGGAAACAGAAAACCGAAGGACATTAGATTTTCAAACAATTTGAAATACTTTGATACTTTAAATGAAATAGAATTTTCAATATTATTGTTCAAAATCATTATGTCAAAAAAACGTAAAAAATATTTTACATTTTATTCCTTGAAATGCGAAGTTATTTCTGCAAGTAATAGGTACTTCACAAAATATTCGGTTATTAAAAGCTCGTAAAGAATTTCCTTCAATAATGGAATTTCATGGCTGGAAGACATTGAATAGACGAAGGTGGCATTGAGTCCGAAAGCGTCGAGAAATCCTTGAATGGCGCAACTTCCGGTCTTCCGGACTTTCTAACCGCCCGCGCCTGAGAGATTATTTCCACGAAAAATCGATTTGCGCTCTGGAGACTCATTGCATACCTCTCGACGCGTTTCCAGGAACCACTGCATTGTTTCTTGGAGCGAAGCCTCCTTGAAAACTTCGGATTACACTCAATTCTATTTTTACACGATAGATAGGTTCTGTGTAAAAAAATTCGTACGTAAAAATAGAATGCACCTATACACAAATAGAGATTGGTTCCAGACCTAAGAAATTAGTAAAATAATATAATAAACCATATGAAAATTTATGATAGAATTTGGGCGATTGTGTTGAATCGAATCAAATCGTATAGAGAGAAAATTAAATCTCTAATTCATGTTAATTCAAACAAATCGTGTAAGCTGAAAATAAATGTTTCTTTAGATCATGTTAAATTAGATAAATGGTCTGAAAAGAAAATGAAGTCTCTAATTCATGTTAATTCAAACAAATCGTGTAAAATGAAAATAAATTTTTCTCTAATCCATGGCAAATCAAATAAATCGCGGGAAAGGAGAAAAACAATTCGTGTGAAGTCAAAATCGTGTAAAAACACAATTAGGTGTATTTAATTGTTGATTATGCAAATTTGAACAAATTATGTATTTCAAATGATTCAAATTAGAAACATGATCGATAAGACGTCAGATCTCTTCGCATACACGCACTGGTTAAATAAATTCATATTTTGAACTTCGAACAAAAACATTATCTAGGAAAAAGGTACACGCGATGGTCACGGTTTTATAAGAATTTTGTGTTCACGCCGGGAACTTTCTAACATCGCATGCCTTTCTCGAACGCGGGAAAAATATCGGATAATCACGAATGATACTTAAATTGGGAGAGATTTTCGAGGAAAGATAATATAATTTGCATTTACACAGAGTGGAACGGACATACTTATCGGAAAGAATTGTTTAATCCGCTGATAGTATATACTTAGTCTTTGGTCCGTATGATGGTCTCGTGTCACGCGATGAAAATATATGCATGATTTGACCTGCATAGTATCAGCTGGGAATTTAAGTAGTGTACAGCTACTATTAATAGACTCGATTTGGTGGTCATTTTAAGCACATTTATGGAACACAATGAAACTGAAACGTAAACCTTTTATTCGAAAAAATTGAATAGCAACAATATTTATTCTTTCAAATTAATTCATTAATTCCTGGCACTCAAAAGTTTTTCCTTAGAAATATTCAACATTTTTTGATGAGGTACAAACGATATATTTTTTAAAATAATTTAACGATAATGTACACATAAATTAACATAATGTAGTATTATATAATATGTAATATAATAATAACATAAATCAGGGACAAAACTATTTTATTTCAATATATCACAAGTTTAATATTAGATAAATATTTTATCTATAGATATGTTATCTAGATAGATTTTCTAAAAATATAATACAGTACTCATTGATACATATGATAGATAAATAAATTTTTTCATTGATTTGTTTCAGGTAATACATTTCATTCATCCTATCAGCTTTGGTCCAGATGTGTAGAAATCATATCGTTATCTGAATACTGCAAACAAGGATATCAACTGAATATACGTGAGTGTCGTAACAGATTACACATTTCTGTGCATACATAACAATATAATTAGCAAACTGTACAACTTTATGGATATATAGTATTCACACATTTTTTAAAACTCGCAGTATTTTAGTAAAATTAAATACTGTTTAATTTTATTTTCAATTTATTTAAACTATTCATCAAGGAAATAAAATGTCATGTAATTCTAATTTTCTCGAATTTGCATAGAACTCCACACTGCTAATTAGAAATGATTCACGATAAAATGGCGCGTGTATCGTATTTGATTGTCTCCAAAATTCCTTTCATTTTATTAACATATACATAAATTGTACACAATATTGTATGTTCCGCGTAAATTGAGAATTCGTGGTCTATGTAAAATAAATATTGAATTATAGATGATCCATTCTGATCTATTAACTTTTTTCATTTTTCTAGAAGTCTTATAATAAAATTTCTAAATTTCTAAAAAGTGCCATCTTTCCAAAATTTCTGCCAATCTAAGCAAAGTCTGAAAGAAATTTATAGTACAATCTAATACTTCAAGTTTTATCAACCTTCTACATTTCTTAAACCGACTTACACTCGTTCCTCGATTTACGTGAAGTATATGTTCCACGTGGATTCGTTTTACACGAATGAAAATCATGTAAATAGCGTTCATAAATACAAAGAAAACAAAATATGGAAAAGAAAAGCTGATACAAGTTTTAGTAATATATATTTATTTCACACAATTTATAACGTTGACTACTACGAAAAACATCAGCGTTTCATGTATCACTCATTCTTGCCGTAGCAAAGATAATGAGGAAGAATTATTAACCATTTGCTATCACAACTTACCTAGTTACCTACGCTACTGAACATGTTTATTGAACATCAATCACCTGGTAAGTTATAATTATTTTCTTGTAACTTGGAAACTTCAGTCAGCGGAGAATGTCGTAACAGTAACGTATTAACAAAAAATAATAATGACATTTCAGAAAACAAAGGTAAATTTTATTTAGTGTCACTACATTCAGATCGTATAAATTAATATTGCGTATAAACAATACTGCATAAACAGTATTATAATTTGCCGCGTAAAATAGAGAGATACGTAAAAAATGTTCCGCGTAAATGGAGTTACGGTGTAGAGTGTGTCCATCGTGAAAGGAACCTCGGTGAATACCGAACGACTGAAACTGATGCGGCCGAACTATTAATGACACCTTCCTGTCAGGTGCGAACACACGAAACTCGCGGTATTCGCCGCAGCTGCGTGCCGGTAACCGGAAAAAGATTAACGAAGTTCAGTCACGAGGTTCGCATCCCATGGGTTTTCTAATGTGTTTCGCGGTTCTATGCATCGCGAATTAACGCGTCGGAAGTGTCGAGTCGCGTGCATGTTGTTAGGGAAAGTCCCTTCGCCGAGGAAACGGAGCGAGCCATCGTTTTCCTTTTTTTCTTTGACACGCTATTCCTTCAATCTGTTCTCTCTTTCACAGTCCAATAAAATCGGTAAAACTCGTGTGAAAATTGTCTGCGTTTTCTGTTTTCCATGACCTGAACTACTTTTCGTTATCGTTGAAATGTTGATAATGAAATATATGTATATCTAGAACGAATTTATCAATTTTTATCACATTTGATTCTCAATGGTGCATAAACAAAATTTGCATAAACGGTTGGTTGCACAACTATATGTTTAAAATTGATATTTGTATATGTAAATATTAACAGTTTAACAGTTTACCATTTACATTTTTATTCTTGAGCTTTTTCATGCAGTGAACGAAGTAAACAAAGAATAATAGGAGATTGGTGAATGTTAGGCAGTTATCAATTGAAAGTTAAGTAAACTAAAAGTTTATAACATGTTAGGAAGGTTCTTCTTCTTTTCATTATTTTATGTGACTTACGTATTTATCGAAAAGTCATTGTTGTTGTAAACTATAATTCCCCATTGTAAAATTATATTCTTTTTATACTGTTAGCTTTTACAATCGAAAGATTAAAAAAAATTGTTAGTGTTTATTTGGTTTCCGAAAAAAGAGGAGAATTCTAAGTTCTTTAAAATTCTTCTGAAGATATAATAGAGGAAAGTATAAATATTAGTCTACGATATATATTTCGGTCGTTCATGTAAAAATAGATCATTAATAAAAAGAGTTCTACGCGTGGTGCCATGTCTGAAACATCGTTGGATAAATGTGTAAATCCTTAGCCGAATGATTTGTGGATCACTAAAATTCCTATCAACAAATCACAAACAAGTAAAGCCAAACTGATCTCAATAATCCCTTAACAAATTTTACTGTAACATTGCTTTTAATCCAGATAAAACACGCTGTGCTAAAAAAGAATTTGTATACTGACTATTTTCGAAGTTTTTTAAAATTATTTTTAAATTGAATGTTATCCCTATTTTAAATCGTGTATTTTTGGTATCGTGGGTATCAAATGATTTTGAAAGTTTTCTATTTGGGGTGCATCGACCTTTTACAAATATCTTTTGTACATTTTTTAATTACATTCTTTTTTTATGGATAAGTCAAAATCAATTAAGAAATTAAATTTATTCAATTAATGAATTTAAAGGTTTTAGTTAAAATGATATAATAATAAAAATTATTCTGTTTTCTTTGTAATATTTTGTAACAAGGAATAGTTTAAACAGTTAGAATAGTAACAGTATTAAATAGTTTCTAATTATTTTAATTATACATTTGATCTATTGTTTAATTGTAGCACAATTAATTGAAAGAATAACTCAAAATAAATGAAACAACTTGAATCATGTCCATCTTCTAAAAGTGCATAGAGGTAGTCACTGATACATGCAAGTTCTATTGATAGCATAATCTTATTTGAGCCAATCTTCTTGTAACAGTCTAATACTCAATTACTGCTGTTCGCAGATTCTATTAATGCCTGGCATGGTTAAGAATTGCTCATAGCAAGCAAAATATCATTGAACAAAGCTCTCGTGCTTCAGAAAATGAATTATTTGTACATTATTTTTATATTAAAATTATCATTAAAGTATTTACAAAGAAACTAAAATAATACTAAATAATTATTGCCTCTTCTGCAGTATTTAAGAAGCAAGAAATTCTTTAAAATAATTCACTTATTATTTAAAATATATAAATAATTTATTAAATCCTAAATTATATACATATATATATACATACAATTGCAAACTAACAATATAATATAAAATCACCACATCGCTTAACAAAAATAAATACAAATTTTTTTTATCAATACAGCAAACCAATTTCACAAACTTCCATTAAAAGTATCGATTAGTTAAGAAAATAAATCAACATAAATATATTGATACGAGATCCCCTAAATCTTTCGAAATTTCTACATAAAACTGAATGTCGTTAATGTCAGTGCACCAAAGGACACCAAGATCGTCAGCAGTAGCCTTGAAGTCTCTTTCATCACCAGTTCCCATCAACTATTACGAAGTAATGCCATTAACGCGTGGCCTGTTTCCAAAAAAATCACTATTCCCGGCACCAGTTACCAAATCAATTATCGATTAATGAAATCCCGGCTGCCGCGTCTGCCAGCTGAATCCGTGTGTCACCCAATTTAATCTCGAAGGCCTTTGATTCCGCGGAGCAAAGTTTTACGGTAGCCTGACCTTCGCTTCGCAATACAGCGCCGAGCGAACTTAGCCAATCACGCCGTCGAGTGACAACGGCGACGAGGGTCTTTTGAATGAACGTATTAACATCAATAAAATCGAATGCACGCTCGTGCGCGCGCGTTAAGTGACGTCGCTCGGTGCAGCGCGGAGCAGAGCAGGAAACCCGTAGAAAACGGCAACGAGGAATGTGCGCGCATGGATGGCCGCGCACAATTGTCCGACGATAAACCGGGTAGACGTTTTACTTGCGTGACACACTTGACATTCATTCTTTCGCTTCCCTCGTTACGGAACATTGCTCGCATCCACCTGCACGCGCCGTCCCGCGGTGACTTTAATGTCAAGCCCGGACAGACAGCTAACAGGGAGCAGCGAGTAGATTTTCCTCTTCCGTTGCCGGCCATTTTCATTACTTTCTCACAAGACGAGGTGCTGTTTGAATTGTTTCGTTACTTCCGCGAGAAATTATTTACGGTTATTAACACTGGAACTTTCGAGGGTTTAATATGATTAACTTCTTGTCAAATAATTTTGTAACTGTGCTTAGTGAAACTATTTTATTATTATCTTTTTTTATTTTATATATTAAGTTGCGTCAACCCCGTTGGGTCATTGGCAACTGCTTTAAATTATGACTGTATTGTGTATTCCTTAGTTATGGATGGTAGTCTAAATTAAGTGTGCTATTTTGATTTATTTCAGAAATTTTTTTGCTAATTAATGAAGATATCAAATAAAAGAAGACCCTAAAGAAGTAACCCGAACTTCACTCATACTCTAGTATTTCGAAATTTCTGAACGAATTTGGTATTTATCTTGTGTCTAGGCTTGATTTATAAGTTAGCAGAAAATTAACTGGTTGAATGCTGCCGTAATGGCGACTTCGAGCTTTTATACCTGAAATCGAAAGCTGTAAATAAATCATGTCATTATGCAAATAACGTGGGATTGGGTTCGAGATTAGGATTAGGATACCGCATAAATTAATACGTGATTTTTCTTTTCTAGTATTTAAGAGCTTGATGGATTTTTACTTTCCTTATGGAAGAAATTTCTAGAAGTTCAAAAAATGCTCGTCTGCAAAGAGTTAATATTTAATTTATATTTAAAAATAGCGAATGGCATTTGGATTTGTCGAATTCAGTTTAAAATCTTCATGACGAGTCTGGCATCATACCATAGAACAAGGGATTAACCCTCCCTCAGCATTGTAGACTATTAAAGGCCTGCCGAAAATCTCATTTCTCCATGACTTCACCACGATTTTTCATTCTTATTGGAAAATAATATAAAGATTTAGATACAGTGAGATTTATATATTATATGGACCATAATAAATATTTAGACTATAATAAATAT